GGTGCTCAAAAATGCAGTTGTTTGAGCCGATGTGTGAGAGTTCGCATTGTCGTGGTGAAAAGTGATCCGTCTTCGGCGGTTGGCTTTCCTGATTTCTTGGAAGACAGCTGGCAAACAAATCGTTGTGTACCACTCAGAATTTACTGTTCTGAGCTGTTCTAGTGGTACGGTTGCGACATGTCCAGTATTTCCGAAAAAAAAGGCGACCATCAGTTTGGAAGTACTTCGTGCGCGAACAACTTTTGTTGGATTTTGCTCATCTTGAAACACCAATACAGTCGACTGCTGTTTACTTTCGGGCTCATACGCGTAAAGCCACGATTCAACACCTGTCACGATGTCAGACGTGTTTCGAAGCACCGCGATCGTATTTTTTGAGTATTTCTTTCGACCAATCGACACCAGCCTTTTTTTGAGCGATTGACAAATTGTGTGGGATCCAACGCGAACAATTTTTTTTGACAGTCAAATTTTCATGCAATATTAAATGTATTCTGGTCCCACTAATACCAAAGGTTGACTCAATCTCACGATAGATCACATGATCTTGCAATATCAGTTCACGCACAGCATCAATGGTTTTCGCAACAACTGATTTTGGACGACCTTCGCGAAATTCGTCTTGGAGTGAACTACGACCACGATTGAATTCGCCATACTATCGATAAACATTGGCCCTAGATGGAGCTTCATCGCCAAAAATTGAATAAAGTTCATCCATGCACTGTTGCTGAGTTAATCCACGTCGAAAGTCGTAAAAAATAATCGCGGGAAAATGTTCAAGATTTAATTCCATTTTGGGCCAAGATGAATCGTTTAAGTCACTGTAAACAACACAAATAGCGCTCGTATGTCAAAACGTTCTGAGTACGTTTAACCTCAAAACATCCAACTTTACGATAGAGCTGTCAGTTGCAAGATTGCAACACCAGGGTTGCCAAATTCCGAAACATAAAAGGCAACCTTCGTCAGTCTGCCGCCGCCGATGGTTTAATGATACGCCCTTAAGGATTAGCGGGCGGGCTGCTACAGAGTTGCTTAACTAGACTGTTCTGGGGATAGATTGATCACCAAATCAAGGGCGTCGTTTGATGTCGTCGATGGATCGGCGGGCGGCAGCGTGCATGCTTATTGCTATACGTGTGTATACATATATACACACACATATAGCAATGAGCCTCACGCTATGAGCTCGGGTGGAGGCACTAGCTGTTTGATCACCTGAGTCGTTCCTCTTGATCAATGCTGACACAGGGCTGGCAAACTCACTTGCGCTAGGACTTACTATGTCAGTTAGCCACTGTTGGACTTGCTAATTGACGATGCATGTTTCTTTCGGGACCAATCTCAGAGGTAGTAAGCTGATTGACTCTTCATCCTTTAAGTCAATCTTCAGCATGACACTAGCCTTACCGTTTCTGGTATGTAGTTAGCTACCAGCTGTTCGACCTGACATACATAAGGTTCACGAGCGTCGATTTCGGGCATTGTCACGCATTCCAAAACACTAAGCTCTCCTATGACGCTATCAACTGGGACCTTTGCATTCGGTGTGTCTGCCATGATAGCAATTTTGTAAAATCTCCGGCTTGATAAGACATCTGCGGGTCCTCCTTCCATTCCTGACCTAAGATTAATTCCGCATTCATAGTTTTACTTCGGTACAACGTAAACTTAAGTACTGTAAGTTTTACCACCAAAATCGATCTTCTATTCTGCCAACTCCATGTATTTCACTGTGACGTTCCCCGACCCCGTAAATAATCGTGTCTTCAGTTGACCTCCCACTTTCTTGTATGTCCCGCTGCATCAGGTTGAAATCACTTCTGGCATCCATCAGTGCACGACACCCCATATATGTATTGTGATTGGAAGACATTTTTCCTCGCGCCTGGATACAACCTTCCTGCACTTTCTTCCATTATCTGCGGAAAGTATGCACGAAACTGTTGCATATAACGAATTTCGGCTCCTCGTACGGGCACCCAGATCTCTCGTGATCCACAATTAAAAAAAAAAAAAGTTTATGTCTGACAGTCTTTTTCCTCAGTCTTCGTTCCCTCATTTGCCGGAGTTGCCACTTTCTTCTGTTCTTTACTCGACACTTGTTTTCAACTGGCGTGTTTTGTCTTCTATCCTGTCATATTTCAAGTTCTCAACTCTCGAGTTGTTTCCACGCCATAAAGCAATATCTTGTTAATCTCGCTGTCCGGAAAACCATCTATGATGTACTCAATCAACGCTTCTTCGATTTTCCCCTGATGCGCAATCCCTATCATCGAGAGTACATTTTGTTGTCCTGTTTCGTTGGCAGCCCGCCTACGTTGACGCAAATGGTTCTGAAACACAGCGGAATTTATTCTGACAGCGAATTCCTGACATAGCACACTTTTGAAGACATTCCAACGGGATGTCTTTTGCGATGACATTTCTTTGCAGACCCCTCCAGCATACGCTTCGCATAAATCACTTTTTGTATCACATTCCACTGCAGGAGCTCACCGATGTCTTCGATCTCCCGGATCCATTTTTTGGCGACATTCCGTCATCCCCGGAGAAGTGCGATAACTTTCCTTCAGCATCCTTAATGGTGTACATGTAGTGCCATCTTTGTTCGTCGTCACTGAGGTCGTGTCAGCTGCGACGCCTTTCGCGATCGTAATATCGGGCGTGTTGCCCCCGATTGCGCCAACCGTCTTGTTCATACGCTCCATGATCTCGCTTTCAATATCCGTGCAGCGATTCACAGTTACGACGACCGTCGCGATGTTGACCGCTCGAGTCGCTGTCTTCCTTCTGTATCCCTTTGTGCTTCGTTCAAGCCAGATATCTGTTATCGACATTGTCCTCTTCAATCGACCATTCCACATCGTCCATTTTGTTTCTTCTCATTGTCTTCGGTTTCAACTTCGCGCTACCGGTTTGCGTCGCTTTTTTTTCGGCACCGCATGTTTACTCTGCACCCGCGACATCTGTCGGGTGTGCCGGTCATCACCTGCCGACGCGCTCGACGAACCTGATGATCGCCACTTTGCTCTGTTTTCTTCCAGAAATGTGACTTGCCCAATTCCATTTCTCTTCCGCAGTTCCCTTTCCTCGCTTTATTCGGTTCTATTTACCAGTCCCACTACTCTCTTTTATGAATTGTTGAACTCGACAATTGACAGTTTTCATTGGAACTACACACGGCCTCTAACCTACACGCGACGATTCTCTTTTCATTCTCACAATCCCGGCCCCATTTGTAGGATCGCTTTTTTTCTTCAAAGAAGCGTATAATTTCGAACTGTTGGTTTATTTGCAACCTAAAAGGAGTACACCAAATAATAGACACTTTTATGAATGTCACACCACAGCATGCACCTCAGTCACATCACATCCGTCTGTCTACTGTCCCATTCCTTCTCCGATCACGCTTTTCCAGGTCTGCCACCTGTTGTTCTGTGCAGAGAGTATACAAGTTGCACTACTGTGTCTACTCATAAATCACCAACCCCCACACGCATCATATACACACATTATTTTATTTACATATATATGGATGTAATATGTAATTTGTTATATTACATAGACCTTGGAAAAAGAGCACTACAATGGTATGGAGAGAAGTCAAAGAATGTTGGAAACAAGATGGCCACACAAGATCTTACAAGTGGCAACCGCCTGAGAGAAGACCAGTTTTAGAATGGACAAAATAATACAGGAAGCTATTAAGAATCGAGATAGTCACTGCTTTTACGTTATAACAAAAACGCTATACATGGAGAATTAATAAATCTAAAATATAACATTCTATAAAAATTTCGTCCGTATTTTCTCCCATTCTTTTAAATGTCCTTTGCACTATCTAACAATAAATTTAATCAAAAACGATGGATCGAAAATTTTTAAAAAATTCCCGGGGACTTTGTGTAGAGTATCACTAAAAATTAAAATATCAGTTTGAAATTCAAGGGGTCGCGATATCAGCCTGATCGATTGGGAAATATTAATTTTGGAGAAAATCAGCTGAACAGTTTAGCCGCTAGCACACGGAAGTTTTGCCGACATTCGCGTTTTCGTTATCAAAGACCAACTAAACATGGATTCTGGCTACACCACGTGTTAAGAGTTTTTTTTCTAAATTAAGTACCTAGAATTATCCACGTTTTCGTTACCAGGGCCCATTACCAAGAGTTTTTCTGTCGATAATTCGCCGTATTTTCGCGCACCATTACGTAACTTTCTCTTTACTTTGTTGCGAGAACGTAATAAACGGGATATTTTACTGATAGGTAGAGAAAGTCAGTTACGTGGCAAAACTGGCACAACTCACTGGGTTTCTTTTATGCATGCCATTGGGGAGTGGCGTAACCACCGCCGGTCCGGCAGGAACAATTACCTGGGGCCCGAGAGTCAGTGCCACCGTGCTACTTGAAAAGAGAAAATGGACTCGTTCGTGTTTGTATTTCAAGTTCTTTTGCACTCAAAATTTTTGACCGCGACTAATGCCGGGTTTCAAAATCTGATTTTGATCTTGGCCAAGAATGGGATTTGACTGGAGCAGCTCGCAATGATCTAAAAAATATTTTAGAGGTACTTTGACAAATCAAATCCTATGAAATAGAGTCAGCTACATCTTGAGTCATTAAAGTTGCGTTTTTCGAGGGGGGGGGAAACCGATGAACTGTGTGAAGATCAACGTTTATCTGACCGCGAAAAAAAAATTAAAAGTTAATTTTTACTTCGTTTCTTAGGATATTGTGATTAGTCAGCTGAGGCATCGATTAATTGGCTTGAAAGAAAAAATTGATTCGTTTGCGATCATTCAGGCACGAACTTTGTAGCAGCTTTCAGACGAAGAATTTGCGAATCAATACGAAACGAAATACTATAACGACGTAACTGATGAACTGTTCACCCAGCCATTATCCTTGCGTAGTTGTATGAGAGATCGAATTTCGAAGATTCATTCAATCAGTTGTCTAAATTGATCCTTATTGAGTACGTTACTCTTTCAGCTAACTTCCCAGGCGCCTCCCAAGTAATCTTGCTGTTTCTAATGTTTCTCGTGCCGTCTGCGACTACAGAGCGATATTTTTCAAAATTGAAAGTATCAAAAATTACTTTCTTGAAAAATTGTCGATGAATCCCAAGTAGCGAAGCGGGGGGGGGGGGATTTATCTGAGAATTTCCAAACCACAAGTGGTACAAAAATGTGCAGAGTATTGAAAATAACTGAAAGAATATTGAGATCAAAGAGGTTATGTTATAGTACATATGCTAGTTAATTGCACATCAACAGCGATTATACATACTGCCTCCTAAGACATATGAGTTGCAGCTTATTATTGGCTAGTAGGAAAGGGCAGTACGAAAACTCGATATAGAAAAGATAGATTTTTTAGATACACCATTTTGATTGGGGCATTTTATATGTGCAGTGGCTAAGAAAACTATTTGGACACTTATTCATTTAACCAACAATTGATCAAATTTTCCTCAGAAAACCACATAATGATTTCTAAGCGCACAAATTTGAAAGAATAAAATGTTCTTTAATTTGCAAACATAAATACTTTCAAAAACATATTTGTTTGATTAAAAGAAAAATGAAACGCCGCTGCTGAGACTTCGCTTTAATAAAAACATTTGGACAGCGGTTGAGGCAACGTGGTAACGGCACTTTTTATCGTCGAAAAGAACGTTGAAAACTTCACCCCTTACTGCATATACAAGGTCATCTGCGGGTCGATGAATCAGATCCGTGGGAACCTATTTGAGCCAAATGCGTCTCAGAGAAAACACTTTTGAGCAGCGTCAGCTGGTTATTTACCATTACGCAAACTGCAAGTCATGTAACAGTAGCGCACCAAAAATACCTCCGCAGGTAGAAAGTGTAGTACTGCCAAGAAAATAAATCACGAAGCCGAGCGAAGGGTATTAAGGAGGTCTAATTTCCATAGCCGCATTGCAAGAAGAGAGCAAGTAAAGCGAATAGACGGAAAAGGCTGGCGTTTGCTAAATAGCACACAGAAAAGGACGAATATTGATGTTATAAAGTAATCTTTGTTGACAAATCGGAAATGAACATCTGTGGATCCTACGGAAGAAGTCTGGTGTGGAGACTTAATTAAGTGCTGAAAGGAGAAAAAACATGTAAGCAACCGTGAAGCACAGAGGAGGAAATGTAATTGGTGTTGAGCTGCATGTTAGTCAATGGTGGCGGTGAACTCTTAGAGCAAAAGTTGAAAGTTCTTAAACATAATTTAAAACTAAGTGCTGAAAATCTTGAAATTGTTGATACATTTTGTCAGGATGATTTCTAGCACAAGTCGAAGATTGAATAATTTTGGCAGCTGTATAACTGCCCAAAAGTAGTTCACATCATCACACCCTCCATCAGCACACATTGCTACTTGATATTGAACTCACTGTGATATTTCTCACGCGTTTTTCTGTTTGAACATTATTTACTGTGCATATTTGTTTATATTTCTATAACATTTCAGTGCCCCAATACTTTTGTGAGAACTTTTCAGCATAAAAATTAAAATTTAATAATATAAGTTGATATATATTATGATTTTAAAGGAAGTTTTGTAAATATCTTATAACTGCTTATGAAAGTAATCATACAATATATTTACATTTATTTTCTTTTTTTTTATTCCTAATCCATGATTATTCTGCTATATTTCCCGTGCCCGAATAGTTTGCGAGTCCCCGTATAGTTTTTAATTTCATGAGTGGAATAGTCTGCAACTCCGCCTGCAGTAGGGACTGGGTGGATTGAGAAGCCCAACAACCGCCGTTGCCGAACACAAGCCCGGAAAAAGGAGGATAAGCAATTGGCCAACAAAAGCAAAGAAATAAGTGTTCAGAAACCTACCTCCTTAACCAGGGCGACGGTATAGATAAGTTCGTCAAAGCAGCCGACAGGGATCGATTCTGAATTCTGAGATTGATTATGATTAACATAGATTCATGCAGTTAGTTTTCAGCACGCTTTTATTGGGGACATTGTAAAGGAGGGTCCAACTTACCGGGGCCCCGAAGGTCTAGTTACGCCGTTGCCATTGGAATACGTATTTAACAAGTGGTCACTTGTGCGATCACAACAGTTGAAAGCTAATTCTTCTGGTGTGCCGAGGCACGCGACTTAGAGTATATGGATCTTGGGCGTTAGACTTGTTCTCTAGACTTGTTTCAGAGAGCGGAAATGGAAAAGGAAACTGAAGATGACAAAAAGAAAGAAAACAACGAAAATAAAGACACACTTTCAGTGTTGTGGCCCCCGAAACATGTATTTCTATCAAAATCTTGACAAAGAATACGCACATTAAATACCTTTTCGTCATGTAATCAAAACACAATATAATAATTATAACGCGAGTTTGTAACATAGAACGATTAGATATGAATAATATTTTGTCCTGGTTTAGTGCTGATACTGGACATTTTGAAAACAACGTAGGAGGGGCTGTTTGTTTAATCTCTTGTCCCTCGTGGCAGAGTTCGCAGTGGCTCCAGAGCACCTAGGGGGGCCTAAGCGGAAGCTAACGTACTAGGGGAGGGCAAAGATAATTCTAGGAGCTGCAGTTAGAATGTAGCACCAAGGTATCAATAGGGTCATTCATTCCAACATAGATCGCCATGCATGGCGGGGGTGCGTGTAGTGACACAATGGAAAAGTGAAGAATCAAAATGTGATACAATCACGAAAATGACTGATTTAGTGGAATGAAGATTACTGTAAAGAAAACCATCCCCTCATCAGGATGTGGACTGATACAGCTTTACAATATATATATATATATACACACATATATATATATATATATATACACACATATATATATATATATACACACATATATATATATATATATATATATACACACACATATATATATATACACACACATATATATATATACACACACATATATATATATACACACATATATATATATACACACACATATATATATATACACACATATATATATACACACATATATATATATACACACACATATATATATACACACATTATATATATATATATATACACACATTATATATATATATATATACACACATTATATATATATATATACACACATTATATATATATATATACACACATTATATATATATATACACACATTATATATATATATACACACATTATATATATATATATACACACATTATATATATATATATACACACACACACATATAGGCCGTGAGTGAAACACGGACGGGGCAGTGCTGCATCAAACAAATTTATGGTGGTGTTAAGAACAG